TTCACTAAGTATTCTCCGCGATTCACTTTCGACCTGAATTTCTTCGAAATTCTCATTTGTAAGATAGACTCCATTGCGCTGTCGGGCGGCAATAAGTTCGCCCTTGAGTTTTTGGATTTCATATGTAAAATCTTTGAGAAGGATGTTTTTGGAAACCTGCTGGTTGACTTGAGGTTTGTTGCGAATATTCTTGGCTCTGAATGCATAGTCCAAGGTGGAAATTGTCTCCTCTAGATTACTTTTGGCCGGAGAAACTGTTGCAATAATGCAAGTTTTCGTTCGGCCCCCCAGTGAATCTTGAAGAAGACGTGTGAGTTTCGATTCGCGGTAAGGAATATGAACATCACGAGAACTTCGATCAACCAGGGCATTGATCACACGACCAAGAGTCAATAAACTCTTGTTGATCAAACCAGCTTCAGCAGCTCTTTTGTTCTCGGCACCACTGCGTTGAATATTTTCACTTCCTGCCAAATCAACCAAGTTCAGCTTGCCGGCGCTAACGTATTCTTCCCCATTTTCTGCTGTCCTTTTGATATAGGCGGTAACTGTAAAGACCGTATGACTTCTACTGCTCAGGTCGTTACACTTGGTTGAGGCTACTTGTCTTTTGAAAGATCCATCCTGCAGAATCTTCACACCGTCCCTAGCGGTCTTAATATACGATTCTTCCATACCTTGAACTAATGTTGTAGTACTTCCTTTTTTGCTGTTGTCGTCGTAGATCTTGAGCTTTGTGCTATCGTTGACAGCTATCAGATCACGCAGCTCTTCATTATAAAGTTCAATGAATGAACACTTCACCGAAGATTCCGCCTCATTTAATTCGAGTTTGTTGAACAAAGCGTGAAGGGCGCGAGGTATGATTCCAGCATTATCTGAAAGGATCCCTAGATGGTCGCTCATATCTCCGGACATCGTATATGTCTTTCCAGTACCAGTTTGGCCATATGCGAATATTGTACAGTTGTACCCCGCAAGCATCTAGAATAATTAGTAATGCTTACATGTAAATAATGGCAGTAAAAGTACCTCATCAAGAATTGGAGTCACAACATCGTCGAAGATCATGGCTTGATCTGCTGCAGATGAAAACACTTTATCGAAATGGTAACTCTTGTTACTGAGAGCGCTGGGTCCCATTGATAAATCGAGATTCTTGCCCTTGACTCCTTCTGTTGAGAGTACAACACCGCTGTTTTCCTTGACTTCGCGCTCATTTCGACCTCTACATCGTACCACAACATTGATATTTGTCTCTCCACCTCCTTCGTGTTCAAAATCTCTTTCTTTCCTTTTCATTCCCGTAGTAGATGTAGCAACAGATACGACCGATCCTGTTGGCGAGACTGCTCCGGATCTCGACGGCGGCGGCATTGCTGAGCTTGATCTAGAGGTAGAAGGTCTTGGTCCTGCTAAAGAACTTGATGGTCTTGGTGGAGGTCTCATGGTGTTTATCCTTTTATTTACAGCTGCCGCTGGCGCTGCTCGAGGTATTCCTGCCATAATTTGGCGGTTATAATATAGGGAAGGAACCTAATTCTGCGTCACTCGCGAGGGAAAGAAGTACAGCAGGTCGGTAGTATTGGTGTTTGTTTTTGTTTGTTTAGAAATCCAAAATTGAATGAGTGAGTTCAACGCGGGGACCAACGCGCTAATAGCGGCAGGCGAATGATCCAATGCTGATTGTAGAATTCAAGATATAAAACTTCTTCTTTTACCTTTGAAAATATGATGTCGTTGTCGTATTGTTCTCGTCGCAAATAATTGTTTATGTTTCTTCAACATTCAATACAATCAATTTCTTTGATCAACATTTCATTTCTGACAAATTGTTGCTCCGGCAACCAAACTAATCCCACTTCTCTACTCCAAGCATCACGAGCTTCCAGCCCCACCATGTCATCACTCTGGAAGTGTCTCACTTCCCAGTCACAGTCATTAATTCCATATTCAAATACCTCGAGTACCAGCACAAATCCTTTACTGTCTACTGATAATTCAAATACAAATGTAGCAGATATGTCGTTATTCAGCGCTCAAGTCCATCCAGGACGAGCTCTGGGCTTTCTAGGTATATAAATATATTGTTCTCCTTCACAAAGAACTGAAACTAACAATATATCCTCAGTTCTAGGAGCTTCACTTCACGAGATTATCACACGAATAAAAGCCGAACCACAACGATTTCCTAAACTCGACTTGACCTTTGAGCCTGTAGCTCCTGTCGATGAGCCTGTTATCCTCAGTCTGCCTTCTAACGGCATCCGTTTACGCTTTGATGGACCTCAGCAACGTCTGCGACTGATAGAGGTATTAGACTTTACAAAGAACAAACTCACATATAATGATCGGGAGGTGTTAAGATCTGGTGGAACCGCTTCACCAAACGGCGCAGGAACTGGACATCTTACTGGACCAACCTTTCGACATATTTACAAGAGTTTAATTGGACCTACATTTCCCGGAGAATATATCAAACCTGAAGCTGGAGACGAGACTGGAATGGGCTTATATGTATTATCATACCCTGGAGTCGCATTTTCCTTCCCTATACATGAATCATCTTGGTCGCCTGGCAAAGATGTTGTTTCGCTACTCTCATCATCCGCTGGCCAACCTGCTTCTTCCATGGCCATATTCTCAGGAGAATCTTGGCCCGAGGCAAGAGACAACTTATTCACACAGACCCTTGAACCCCTCAAGACATTTGCTCCCTTGACAAAAGGTCGCGAACCGGTTGCAGATGAAATTGGCCTTGTGAAACTTTATGGTGGAGGAAAACTTGAGTTGATTCGTCGTTTTAACAATACTCCCTTCTGGATTCTTCTCGGTGAAACAACTCCTCAAGAGCTTGTGGCAGAACTCGGACCACCTGATGCTATATATCGAAAGAACGATCAAAAGATGTCGATTCACAAACCTCGAACTGCAAGTAGTACAGGTAGGCGACCAGCCTCAACGGATCTCCGAGATGATTCGACCGATACCGACCAATCCTCAGCTCACACTGCGACGGATGATTCTGATGATGATAGTGGTGAAGGAGAAGCAGCAGGAAACGTTACGGGAGAATGCTTCTATAATTATTTCTACCATGGCTTCGATGTCTTAGTCTCTACTCCCACATCACCCTCACAACTTCCCCCGTCTAAAGCACGTTCTCAACAAGAAAACAATCGAGTCATTCCCACAGATGCCACCGCCCGCCTGGTAGCTACAAAAGTAATATTACATGGCAATGTCCCGGGCTCCTACCCATTCAATCGTCATCGACGCTGTCGCTGGGAAATCGAATATTTGTCCCCGAGACCCAAGTCTAAAATCATGTCCATTAACTCCGAAACTCCTTTCTCATCCATCGAAAGCAGTCTTTACAATGAATGGAAAAGCATCTATAACAATGTCGAAGAAGCCAAACAACGACAACGTGGTATGGTGCTGAATCGCGATTGGGGCGATAGTCCAGGAAGTAGTTGCGAATTGCTTGGTGGTTGGGAAGATAGTGTAGGTGGGAAACGAAATGCTGAAAAGGAAGATGAGAAGGGCTTGGGAAACACTACTCTGTTTGGGTTTCCAGGGTTAGTATTTGAAGTTCTGAAGAATGGTACTGTGAGTGGTGTTACGGTGTTTTGATTGGGTGGGCGAGGGCGAGGGAGTTTTGATAGGTGATGGGTTGGATACCATATGTGTTGGTGCTAGTTCGGGTGTTTTGGTGATACATATATTTTAGATTGCATACATACATGGGTGGGTTACTGAACGGTTCAGGCATTCGGGTGTTTATGTCATTTGTAGTGATATCAGGATTTAGTATTAAAGCATTGACGTTCTGAATATAATTATTTTCTGCTGCGAAGAAGTTGATTTACTGCGTGTCAAATGCCATCTCCTTTCACACACCACAAGTGAGTACTTCTTGGGAAACAACAAACATATTCCGAGTGAAGGGTGATTAAGTGAAGTCACTAAAGAGAAGGTCTCTTGAATATCATACCAAGGAACACAAGAGTCCCTTTTTGAGCAAATCATCATGTTTTGCAATCCCTATCACCCTCATCACTCTCCAGTACAATCACCTCCCTCTACAAATCAATTTGTCTCGGGAGTTATCATAGATGGAGATTGGCTGGGGAATGGAGAAGATAGGGAAAAGTACAGTGGTCAAGGAAAGCAGACCCATCAAAACGCAATTAAAGATCACATAAAGGATCATATAGGCTTTCGTAGGTATCTCCAGTGGATGGTTGACAATTCTTTTTAACCGATCCAGTGAAGTAAGTCCATTTATAGCATTTTTTACTACATTGAGACGCGTAATTTACATCGTGTTCATGTCTACCAGAAGCTTCTTGCGCAGGAGTATCAAGATTTAACTTCAACGGGCTAGGCGCTGGTAATGTGGATGCAGATATTGTGAATAAGGAAGCTTGAATCACTGTGGTGAATACATATCACGAAGGGGTTGAAGATGTAAATTTACTGTTTTGACATTGAAAGACTACAAGACTGCATTCCCTTTATTTGCTTGCCAGCAGATGCTGCACATCGGCATATCGAGTGAAGCTAGAGGTGTCCAGCACTTACAGTCAAATTGTAGCGTTGTCCAGAGGTAGGTATCACCATCATGGAACCAAAGAAAGTAAGGTATTTAAGCCATCGTGTGCACCATTGTGCATTTCCCATATCTTTTTACATGTCGCTATCGCTCCTCTCAGAGAGTGACCAGATGACCGCCTAGAAGTAGTGTCGCTGAACTCAGATGACTACCAAACCGTTGGTATATTCTCATCCGTAGAGAAACTAATGCCATATGAAGCACAAACACGAAAAAAACTTGAAGTCCACTTTTTTTGTTCATACTCACTAAAACCGTACTATTCCTCTGTTTTACTATCTTCTTGAGCTTTTAGAGGGTTTCAACTAGGTTGGAGAGGGCGTCTCGGTCTTCACGATGATGTGGGGTGTCGACGGTGTTGGCGAAAGCTGATTGTTATTAGTTATTTCGGCGCTTGACCCCCATAGGAATTTGAGTCTCCGCCCATAACAAATTCGTGTCTATTTTCGTTCCAGAGAGGCAGAAACTTAGAATAGGACTCCATACTACCACTGTATTCAGTTCGAGCTTGATAATCTGCTTGTCCATAGTGGGAATCGGTTGCTGGTCCAGCTTGCTCACTCGGATTCGTAGTTGCCCCGGGCGTTGATGAGTTATCATATGCTAGCGGTGGCTCGACCCGCCCAGGAGAAGGGTTGTCACGGGACTGAAGACGAATTGTCGAGTCATTTCGCGCTGAGGATCTATGTATCAAATCTGATTGGCTGGAAGCTGAAGCAGTGGCTTGCTGGGTGGAAGGCGGTGCGACTTGTGATGTGGCGATTCGTGATACAGCGACATGAGCATCATAAACTTGTTTCTGTGCCTGAACCTGTTGTTGCTGAGCCGGAGTAAGGTTGGGGGGTAATTCGGAAGCAGCAGTAGGCTGAACAACCTGTAAAATGTTAGCAGTTATCCCTGATAGAATAGGACTATTTCCATGTGAAAACGTGCTCCCATAAGTGTATTATTTAACCTTAGTAATTTATTCAACATCCTGCGGGCCCTGGAGAGATGAGATGAGATGCTTTTCGTCGTGTTTAACTTCTCGTACCAGGGGAATAGACGTTTGTAATTGTCGTTACGAAGGAGTTCTTCGTCGCCATCATCGCTCACGCCCCTGAAATAAGTATAAATATTTAACCCTACGCATCAGATTGTATGGTTAGCCTGGAGCTGTATCGAAATGACGATGAGTTCGTTGAATAATGCGAGTACTTGCAAATGAGTCCTTTGTTATACTCCTGTCGCTGGGTTTCATTGATCGCAGTCAAGGTATCTTGAGGTGGATAGTGGACAAGGTAACACGGTCCTCGACCTTTCCTGTTTATCACAATGGGACCTTTAGCCATAGTTGTGACCTGTTCGGATTTCTTAGTGAATATTTCAAAGCTTTATGTTGAGCAATTAAAGACAGATGGAGATGTACAAACATTTTCTTTTCAGTACCAACTTCTGCCGAGGGAGGTCGCTTCCATAATTGCTAGTAAGAAATAGATGAGTTGCTGTAGTAACTGAATAAAGGTACTAGAAATCAAGATGCGATTCGATCTCTCTGCGGGTCACATAAGAAACTGGTATGTTATCGTACAGTGTAAGAGATGGTAACAGATGCTCTGGTCCTCCAGATATTATCAAATTTGCAACTATTGTTTTTCAATCGAAATTTTGAAGAGCCTTCTCAAAAGTAGTCTTAGAACTAGTTGAGGGACTACTTGTTGTAACAGGTTACAAGTCATTTTCTCGCCTTGAGTTCATTATTTCAGCCTCAAGTATTGTCTAACACTTGAGGTTGCAAAGACTTGTTCTTATTCTTATATGCTCTCCCGAACTAAAAGCATGCTTGTGATGAGGAGTTGTGCTTTATTTTGATATCTTGCATCTATTGTACGAGAGTCAGTGGTTGTCTTCTTCTTCTGAGAATGACTGTGTATACCCGAAAACACAATTCTGAAGAAGTAATTGCATTCTCATACGTCCCTCTAGCTTGATATCATTGAGCCTTGTCCCACGAAGAAGGAGCATTCCTCTAAATTAATATCATTGAAACTTGTCCCCATGAAGGAGCAGATACTGCAAATTGTTCAGATTCCACAACAACAATGCAGCTCATCACCCTCGTCTCGTCCTGATAATCGCAGCTATTTGGATGTCATGACCTCTGGCGGAATTTTATTCTGAGATCTTCAGATATCTACACTATGCAGAACGGATGAGGTGCCCCTCGAACCGCCGTAATTTATCCTCAAACATGAGAATTAGAAACGTTCAAGGGCGCAAACGTTGTTGTTTACGCCGAGATAAGGTAGCAGCAAGGTGCAGGCACATGTAATGATTCCCTTGCAGCAATGATTGAGGTGGGATTTATAATTCAGAAGTTATATTGAGAGAATCTTAAAGTATGCTGAACGCTGAAACCGAAAATAAGAACATTCTCGAGGAACCATATACTGAAAAGCATGATTACCACCTCGATATCAAGCAATAAAAGTGGTGATGTTCACCATAAAGACAATGCAAGGGTGAGTGGGTAGTTGTTTCCGACTTTCATTTTGAAGATCCTACCTGTTCAAGTGACTTGAATGAGGTGAAAAGTATAAATGCGAATTTGACCTACTAAAATAAGGAGAATAAATTTACATAGGGAACCCGAATATTTCACAACTTATATTTTAAGCCACCTTCTCTCCTTGCATATCCTCCCGCGAATCTTGTTACGGTAGTTATTCCATATTCCTCAATCTTTACACCTCATATCTCCACATCGGTCTCATATATTCTTCAACACTCAGCTCATCGTCCCAGGCATGAAAAACTAGGACCATGATTTATACAACAAAAATCAAATCCGAGTGATGAAAGAACAATCAGATCGTTGCTTTTAGAAGATGTGATTAAACTACGTTTTCTTTGATGTCGGGTAAATTATCCAACGACACTTCCTTGAATGGTTGCGGAGGAACCGAAAGCGACATTTGAAGCAACGACCATCGTGGAAACTCTCAAACCTAGAACATACTACATCGCAATAGTATACACCAACTAAACAGCCGAGCTCACATAATTGAATGATAGCACGTAATATTCGCACTTGTAAATAGCAATCCCGTGGCAGGCTTTAGGCACATGCACACTTGTGGAAACTACTTGGTCTCTCCAATTTTTTGTACGCACAACAAACAGAGATCCATGGTCCTTCTCGCAAGTCTCAAAACACATTGAAAAGGTATTGTTCATATGTGAGAGAGCAGCGCGAAAGACAGTTGAGTAACAAGATATCATTTATGGAATTCTTGGTTGACTAACCTGCCAAATCAATCCTAGGATTGCATAAGCATAAAAGGACAGCAATGTTTGAGAAACAAAAAAGTAGAGACTGTGAATGATATCATTTCGAGAACTACCTTCCCATCATAACCTTGAACATCAAGCACGAGGTAAAATACCCCGAGTAACATTCATTTGAGTCTATCTCAAAACTCCATTTTGTCCCACATCAACATCAACCTCCACTATCGGCTTATCAATTCTCTCCAACTCTCTTTGTCTCTGCACACTCTCATCCATGTGATCCGCAAAGGCGAAAAGTGCCTGACCTGCTTCTCCAAGGTCATTTACACTTTGAGTTTTCTCAATCTCATCGTCTTTCTTCCCTGACCAACTATCAGGCATCTGTATCAACCCCTCATGTAAAGCATACCCCGCCACCAATCCGACAGCTGCAACTAAACTTCCCGCCGTGATAACATATTTCCAGATGCTACCCGTATCAGTATCCTTTTCCTTTTCGCCACCATACCGTCTCATACGATTATCTTTCCTCTGTTGTCCCACAATCGGTAACGAATCTGCTATGCCCGCCAAAAATACGCCTCCGATATTTAGTATACCACGAGCTTCAGGCGCTTGCCAAGGTAAACTCCCTTTCTTCTGTTGTACTGCATTTGCATTCCCGCTATTGCCAGATTTGGTAAGCAGCGCATCATCCAAACCAACCACACCATTCCACGCCTCATCTTTCAGCTCTTCAACCCATTCAACCAAATCTGGAAACTTTTTCCTCATCGTATTTTGCAGCCATGGTTGTGGTAACTGCGGGTACAGCATCAGAGACATAAAACCTAGTGCTAGAAAATCTAGACTCGACAATTTCTCATGTGAAACAAGATATTTTTTATTTCCTTTTAATTCTCTGATTGCAGAGAAAAAGTCGCTTGCTAATGCATCGAGACGGATTTGCGCATTAGTTTCAGGAGAAGCTTTTAGTAAACTTGAGACAGTTTGTTTGCCCCTCCTAAGAGACTCGGGTATGATACTTGGTTGGTCTCGTGATATATCATCTCCTGAATCTATATCTAGAGCATCTAGACCTAGATATTCTGTTCTTTTTTTAGCTTCCGTTCGGAGATGAGGCGGTGTAAGATATGGTAAGGGGAAAGATTGTATCGTATTGAAAATCGGACGAGTGATTTCGGAATAATTCTTCGAAGAAACATAGAATGAGAGATCTAGTAACGGCTGTCCATGCATTTGGATAAAAGCAGAATAACTAATCGACCAATCAATAAGCTTTGCATCAGAATGAACATAAAGGATCGCTCTATCCGTTTTTTCCTCGGTATCACTTACGCTGTACAATCGGCCCCTTCTTGTCCTCGTAAGCCCGCATCTAGATTCCATTTCCCAGATGAATATTGTGTGAGAAAATCGATGATGCTTCTGTATCCACCCACCCAATGAATGGCTTCATTCCTGCTGTCTTTCAAAGCAGGTAATTCATCTGCAGGATTGTATCAATATTGAACTTTCCCTCTTTTGACCACTCAAGGATTGTGTGAGGGGTAGAAGGATGCATTTTCTGCGTCACGTACTCGTGGGACTTAGGGTTGGATCACTACTAGCAACAAGGGACCATTGACCACGTGGAATCACTTGCTGCATGTATGCAATAGTAGCTAAGCATTGTGCGTCAATGGAGGGTAAACCGAATGATGGACCCCAAATATGCAGCTCAAGAACCATGATTGATATGTGATATAACGCGGAAGTTATGCGCGGGTTTCTGTGCCAAGCGTGAAGTGGTGTCGTATGATTTTTGAGCAAGATATGAGGTTTGAAGTATGGATTGGAGATTCAAGGTAAAAAGATGATGGAATTGAGGAATTTACTTGATTGAAATCTGCAAGTCGTCTAAAGGGATCAATTATGCCTTATGCTTTTCCTTGCAAAAGTTATTACACTTGCGGTGAGTAGATGCAAGTAATTTGATATGTATCAAATTGTACATATGCACACATGCATATATTGTAAACGGTGAAGGGAAAGTCGGCACCCGAATTGGTATTGGTATTGGTGTTGTGGTTGATGTCGTTGTTGATGTCGCCGTTAAAGTTAACGTTAGACTTGTCAAAAAATATTGATCAATTGATAAGAAATTCCCCTCATGGTTGCCAAGCCTTCTCCCTCGCGCTCCATCCCGTTCCTGGCGTTCCTGAGAAAATTACCGTGTCCACGTGATATGGTTTTATCTTTTCAATTCTCAGCTACTCGGCGATACCCAACTACCACACAACAAAGCATATAGCCACCAAATCTAATAGATACATCTAGCTAAAAGCCTATCGGGATATATGCTTAGTCTCCTCTTCACACAGCACACGCATGTACACAAAGAATAACCCCCAAGGAAGCACAACATCAACGTCGCATCCGTCTCGCCGTCTTGCTGTGCCATAATCATACAGAGAAGAATGTTGAAGACTAATTATTACTTTAACCTATCTACTGCCTACCCAGTGCCTATCTAGTGCCTATCTGCTACCCGGTCACCAAGGCTGTGTAAGTCACTTCAACCTAGCAACCTCAACCCACACCACCGGATTTTTGGTATGTCACTATCACACCCAATATTGGTCTTGAAGAGGTATAATTGAAGATACCAAGCCTTCTTCCCCTCATCTTCCTAAGCCGAATATGTTGACTTTACGAGTTCACTCCAAGTTATCTTTACATAATGAATATATCCTAGGAATATCTGTTGGATTAGGTTTTCGTCTTTGAGAAGTCATAGCTTCTATGCATCAGCTGGTTACACTGTCACCACAGTATTGTGAGACATATCCATCTTCCTTTTCCTTCCTCTCAGGAACAACTTCTCGAAATTTACGCCAACCCCAATTTTAACCTTTCTGCTTGTAAGCCAAGGTATATATCTCAGATATCAGAAACCCTCTTCATCATGATGAGCCACCGAATATAGAACTTCTTCTCCCTCAAAAGCAATAATAGCTGTACAACGGGTAGGGTTTAGTTAGTAATATCAGGCAGAATGGAGATGATCCCTTCCTTGCAT